GATTGCATATTTCAGGTAGGATTTACTTAAATAACCACCTTAGATGACGAAACAAGTGTAGTGTAGTGACTAGGGCAGTGAAAGTCTCCAAAGAATACACTGGTAAAGGTATCGCTGGAATAATGTTACAGTGGATAGACAAAGAGGGGCCTCTTTACAGACCTGAAGTCGTATATCATTAATCTGCTGGAAGTAGAATACACTCACCGTTACTTCAAAAGATCGAGAAAGGAACTCACAACAAACTCTTAGAACTGATATGTATATGTAGTTACTTCTAAGCTGCATTTATGTCATACTTTGTATATTTGCTGTAAATGTTGAACAGTTGAAATTAAAACCAAATTCTGCAAGATTATAAACTCACTTCAAATGTGTCAATTTTTTTCATGGTCTCCCATAGAGTGTATTTTTTTCAAACGGGCTGGGAAATTCACCAGATTAAATTGATTGATTGATTGATTTGTTGGTGTTTAACGCCACTTTCAACACTATTGTGCTATTTCGTGGCGGTCATTTTTTATTGATGGGGGAAGCCGGATTGTCCGAAGAAAAACCACGAACCTTCGATAGGAAATTAATTTCAATTACTCAGTGGAAGTTTGCTCAAAGCTTATAACAACTAGTACTGAAATAAATCTTGTTCTCCCAGACTGAAGTATCAATCAGTACACAACGCGCGGCAAAGGATTTATTAAAAAAGAAAACAGTCTGAATAACGTCTGGTTTACGTTTTATATAGATATAAGAAGATGTGGTATGAGTGCCAATGAGACAACTCGCCATCCAAATATTAATATTATCAGATTAATGATATACGACTTCAGGTCTGTAAAGAGGCCCCTCTTTGTCTATCCACTGTAATATTATCTCAATAGAATGGGGAAATCTCCCCAAAAAGATGAAAACCAACAAGAAGTCAATAGAATGGGGAAATTTCCCCAAAAAGATGATAACGAAAACGAAATCAGTAAAATGGGGAAATTTCCCTACAAAGTTGATAACCAAAAAGAAATCAAAAGTCTGGGGAAATTTCCCCAAAAAGATGATAACGAAAACGAAATCACTAAAATTTCATAACCAAAAATAAATCAATAGACTGGGGAAATTTCCCAGAAAAGATGGGAACGATACCGAAATCAATAGAATGGGGAAATTTCCTTACACAGTTGATAACCAAAAAAAATATTTAGACTGGAGAAATTTCTTCACAAAGATTTTAACCAAATAGTTATCTATAGACTGGGGAAATATTCCCACAGAGATGATAACCAAAATAAGTTCACAGGCTTGAAGAAAATACTCATGCCTTGCACAATGATTGCACATTCCGTTGTATACAACAGCGAGAAATATGTCGTCTAACAAATACTGTAAGAATAAAAAAGAGTCACTGTGGTGAAACATTTTCAGCAGCAGATAACACAATTGAAAGGAATCATTGGCTGGGGAAACATTCACACTGATAAATTAAGCAACAAACATCAGAGATAGAGATGATACAGTATAGTAAATGGGCTAATTTCCTCACAAACTCTTGTTTAACTGTAATCATGTATATCGGGGCCTTAAATAGGCGACTAAACAGTATGGTTTTTCTCATGTTGAAGGCCGTAAGGTTGCCGTTAATTGTTAAAAACCACTTAAAATTATCTTTGAGGAATAGTTGTCTAATTGACAATCATACCCGATCCCCTTATTTATGAATAGCTATAAATTAACTCGTATGTTTTAATCTGTCGGGGCCTCGGTGGCTAAGTGCTCCAAGTAGTCCAACTACTGTATCACTAGCCAGTCAACGCTGAGATTATGAATTCGAATTCCGCTCGTGCAAGGTGCGCTCGACTCCAATCTTAATTGACTAGGCCCATGATTGTCAGTTTTCCTATCGAAGGTTCGTGGTTTTTCTTCGGACAATCCGGCTTCCCCCATCAATAAAAAATGACCGCCACGAAATAGCACAATAGTGTTGAAAGTGGCGTTAAACATCAACAAATCAATCAATCAATCAATTTAATCTGGTGAATTTCCCAGCCCGTTTCAATCAATCAATTTAATCTGGTGAATTTCCCAGCCCGTTTCAATCAATCAATTTAATCTGGTGAATTTCCCAGCCCGTTTGAAAAAAATACACTCTATGGGAGACCATGAAAAAAATTGACACATTTGAAGTGAGTTTATAATCTTGCAGAATTTGGTTTTAATTTCAACTGTTCAACATTTACAGCAAATATACAAAGTATATATAATTGTTAAAAACCACTTAAAATTATCTCTGAGGAATAGTTGTCTCATTGACAATCATACCCGATCCCCTTATTTATGAATAGCTATAAATTAACTCGTATGTTTTAATCTGTCGGGGCCTCGGTGGCCAAGTGCTCCAAGTAGTCCAACTACTGTATCACTAGCCAGTCAACGCTGAGATTATGAATTCGAATTCCGCTCGTGCAAGGTGCGCTCGACTCCAATATTAATTGACTAGGCCCATGAAAATAGATTTTAAAGTGTGAACAATTCAAACGAAAAAACTAGGCTCCTGACCTGGGACAGGCAAATAAAGAATATGGTAGGGTTGATATAAAAACGAAGATGTGGTATGATTGCAAATGAGACAACTCTCCACAAGAGACCATATTACACAGAAATCAACAGCTATAAGTCACCGTACGGCCTTCGACAATAAGCAAAGCCTACACCGCATGGTCAGCTATAAAAGGCCCCGAAATCCTAAATGTAAAACAATTTAAACGAGAAAACTAACGGCCAAATTAATGGGGAAATTTCCCCAAAAAGATGATAACCAACAAGAAGTCAATAGAATGAAGGTGGTTATTTAAGTAAATCCTACCTGAAATATGCAATCGGTGGTTTGATTGAACTACTTAAACGTTGAGTTTCCGGTACGGATGTGAACATGCATGATAAAAAAAACCTTACCACAATTTATGAACTATTCTTTGGGGAATCCGTACAGGTTGCCAGATGCAAGGCTGAATTTTATTCCTATAAAAAATACCCATATTCCAGGGTCATTCTAAATTTCCCAACCTTCATCTCGTTCGACCACCTATTGCAGGATTTACCTATCGTATTAATTGTAAACTTGAATTATCCTGATTGAAATATTTGCCACTGGACGTTATTAAACCAATCAATCATTCTTTTTTCTATTATGGTGCAATAATCGTGCACACATTTCAATATGCATACCAGATGAGGAAATGGTATAAATAAATAAACTCGAACAGTAAAGCAAACCAATAACACAAAAGTCATCAAGTAGTAAAAACACATGCAGATATAGAAATTAGAAGATGTGGTATGATTGCCAATGAGACAGTCACATACTGAATGTGGCGGGGTTACGCTAGTTTGAAGGCGCCAACCCTCCCCTTACCTGGGACATTGATGTAATAGAACAACAAATGAACAAACTATAAAAATCAGTTGAAAAGGGCTTTACTCATCAGATCGATTCAAAGCAGAAATACATTTAACAAAAAAATAGACCGGAAGTGGCATGTACATTTTAAAGAAAACGAAACAAAAATGCATAGAAAAAATTGAGAAAATGTTAAAAAGATTGACGGGCGGGAATTTCGACTGCAACTTGAAAAGATAGGTATTTTGGACTGGGGGCTAACTCGTCCAAAGTATTAATAAGTGGTGAATAAATAAATCAGAGACTTCCAAACATGTCAATGATCCGCCACTAAAAACAAATTAAAAAAACCGAAAAAAAATCTGGCTTACAATCAGTACATTTTTGGGGGAAAATTTACCTTCTCATGTTTTCAATAGACGACAAAATGATCGGAAAACAGAAAAATTTTGCCCTAAGTTGCACCGATTAGATGTTTTACTTTACTTCTTTTGGTTGCTCTTGCTTGACTGAGTACCAGGACGTTCGACTGCAGAGTAGGTAACCTGTTGAAAAAATGTTTAATCCGGAGTGAAAAGTCGGTAATATGAAAATAGTCGGTGCCTTTATGTCCAATCATTGTTCATTTGCCATTTTATCATGTTTACTGGTATTCGCATTTGTAAACTTAGTTTTGGATTTTTAAATATTTTGGCCTCATGCATTCATTGAAGAGACATTAATTGTAGAAATGCGCATTTGGTGCAGAAAATTGGTACCGTTAATGTTATTACAGTTTCAAATGTCCAAATTAAGCTAAGCATCATTAACAGTTTGTTACAAATATGCATCGGTAGATGTTTAAAGAAGTTCGCTACTCCTTGTTTTTGACCTTTGTCAGATAACCGGAATCCTCTAGTTTTATCAATGTATTACCAATAAAAAATTTGCCTGATAACCCCTACTTTTTCTTTCATAATATTTATAACATATAGTCTAAAAGCCATTTTTCAAAATCTTTTAAAATCCTTTTTTTCCTTTTTTTTTTTAGATAAAAAAGATGGCCGTGTTAAATGTATGAAAAAAATAGAGAGAATCATTTCCCCCAAAATTTTCAATTGATTATATTTCAAAAACTCGGACAGGGACCTATCATTTTTCTGCTTTTCAAATTCCTTTATATATAAACTATCAATTTATTACAGTTTTTTTTTAAAAAGCTTGTTATTTTGAAACAGAGAAGCGAACATCCTAAAGGACGAAGTCTAATGTTAAATGATACTGTTTTTATTGTAACGTTCCCCCCCCCCCCCCTTTTCTTATATACTTATATTAGAAAAAAAAGATGTGGTATGATAAAACATCTGTATAACATATAGTCTCTATAATGTAGAAGTTAGCCATTGGTTATTGTTCTGCCTTCATCAATAATCAAAACCCATACAGCATAGCAAGCTATAAAAGGTCCAGACGTGACAAATTAAAAAAAGAAAATTAATGGCATGATTAACGTACAAAGCAATAAACGAAAAAACAAATAAGATATACAACAATAAACAACAACAACTTCATAAATTACAGACTCCAGACTTGGGACAGGCGCATACAGAATGTAAGCTCAGTAACACGGGTTATGTCATCTCGGTTGAAACTGATTATTACAAATCTGAGTATCCGTTGAAATGAATAAGTGATTGTCAAATACAAGCGTTAGAATGACAGATTTTTCTTGAACATTTTTTATTCTTCCTTTGGTTTCTTTTGCCTTTAATTGTCCTTTTGGTGGCTCCTTATACTGTTTATCATGTAGCTACAATGTAATTTAAGGAAGTTATTAGGGAAATCAGCAAAAATTGTGATTTAAAGACAGCTGTATTGTGTATTGGCTTGGTCTACGTAAAACGTATCTGTAGGTTTTAGTTTTGCAAAATAAGTTTACCTATCACCGAAATAGTAAAACTAAAATTGACGTTGACTGAGCTTCAGAGTGTACGTATGCGACAACGTTTTTACAACATTGGCGTTTATATCTAAAACTTGAGAGTTATCAATCCGAAAATGACATATGAGTAAAAGGAGTAGGTCCATTAAGACCCCTTTTTGGCCCCAAAATATAGCAGTTTTACAAAATTGTTAAAATGTAAACTTTAAGTTATTTATTGGTAAGAAGAATGCTTCTGCTACATAAATATGGGCTGTTTTTGACAATACAATGCACATATATCGGGTACTAGCATCCTTTAGTCAGGCTAAATTACTGAAATCTTCACAATTTTAGTATTTTAGTTAAATTTTAGACGGTTTCCGTCTAAAATGAAAGTGGCCGCATTTGTGTTCATTCTTAATATTGAAATGTAAGTTGTATTTGATGATAATACATAACATATATAAAGGTTGAGGATGAACACGGATGCGGCCACTTACATTTTTGACAAAAACCATCTGAAAAGTGACATTTTTGGCATATTTGATATATTTTTCATATTTAAGTTTGAATCGGAGCGTTTTAATGATTAAATCAGTTAAAATCTTTCACATAAACTAATAGAATCAACTGAAATAGACACTTTAGTGTTCAAAAAGTGTCCAAAATCCTTCGTTATATGAACCTGAAATTTGAGGCCAAAATCGGCCCTTACCGGACCTACTCCTTTCGACTTTGATTAGATTTCAATGTTGAATTCCGTCAAAAATATCACATATATAAGAAGATGTGGTATAAGGGGCAAATGAGACAACTCTTCATCCAAGTCACAATGTGTAAAAAAGTAATCAATTATAGGTCAAAGTAAAACCTTCAATACGGAGCCTTGGCTCATACCGAACAGTAAGCTATAAAGGGCCTCGAACCGCAGACTGCTTTAATGATTATCTTTTGCTTGTTTGCATTTAGATTCTGAACACAGCGATTATTGTCAAAAAATTCTACTCCAACCTAGAGTGAAATCCCTAATGCAAAGTTGCTTCCATGAAAATAAGACTTAATATAATTTTGGTGTGGTGCTTCCGAAGATCTTTTCTGGATTTCCTTCAACAGGAAGGCTTAACCAGTAAAACATAAAAGCAAAGATGTATATAATAGAAAAACGAAGGATATGGGGTATCTATCCATGACACAAAAACAGTACCTGCACAGCAAACAGCACACAAAAAGCAAAAAACAGCGATTTATTGCTGTTCTTCATTTCATAGTCACAGTGAGCCACTGCAAGTTTAAGACGGCCCCTAGCACTGGGGATAGCATAAAAGTATTTAGAATATATATTGGTAATTTAGATATCAAATGTAAAATGAATGACTGGTGATCCTTGTAGAAAACATAAGAACATACACCTCTAGCACGGGGAAACTCCACACAGCACGAGAGACAAACTCCGTTAATATAATATGCATACTTGAATACTAGAGGGCTTTATGCTAAAAAGGGAAAAAAAGAAAAGCAAATACCACCTAAGGTCAACATTGCCTAAGTGACTTGAAACCTCAGTAAAAACATTTTAAAACAGAGATTTTGAGAAAGATATGTCATAAATAATCCAAGCTGCAAGCACCGACTAATGTTTTAATGATACCCTTGGGGACGAATAGCATTCGACTAACGGAGGCAGAAGTACCAGTAAATTAAAATATCATTGTGATTTTTGTCTAATATAAAAGGCTCCGTTTACAACTTTAATTTTTAGAAATATATATCGTTAAATATGAGACCCTATAAATTTTTACCTAGTAGTTCAGCTTTATCTGACACAGATAAACCAGACAACATGCAACTTTAATAAATGCAAGAATAAATTTGATTTATTATAAAGTTTGATGGATGGATGAATTGTTGTTTGACTGATTAACTGCAATAGCTGTAGATTGCAAAAAAAAAAAAAAAACAATTAATTTCATCATAGGCAACAATAGTAGCCCTTTTCGAGATACAGACTTTAGAAGGTTTGATTTCATGAATGAAACCTTGCTAGAATTTAAGAAAAATTAATAGGACAGTATTTTGTAGTAAAAAAAGATATGTTCTCGTTGCTTTTCTTAACGTACTTTGTACTTATCTCCCTTGCCTATCAATTTTGCACTCAAACATACGTGTCTTATCACAGCGTAGAAAAGACTTCTCAGTTCTGTTAGGGCTAAGGAAAATATTGTTTTACCTGTTGTATAACGCAGAGTTACGAAAGCGGGGTTATTGTCATGGTGTAGTTTTTATTTTTAAGTCGTTATAACGACTTATCTAGCTTGTTATAACGACTTAGCTTACTTTACTCGTTATAACGACTTAGCTTACTTTACTCGTTATAACGACTTACCATACTTTACTCGTTATAACGACTTAGCTTACTTTACTCGTTATAACGACTTATTAGCCAAGTCGTTATAACGACTTATTAGCCAAGTCGTTATAACGACTTTAAAAAAACTACATCCTGACACTAACCGGCTTCCGTACAGAGTGCACGAAGTGTCTAGTAATAAAATACCAGCTGCACACATCGACCAATCAATATTAGCCATACTCTTAATTCTGAATGTCATGTTATCTTATCTTCATAAAATGGCTGCGCCTATAACATTTAGTGGTTGATTGAAACCCGTACGTACCTTGTTCAGCAATTAATATTAAAAGTATATTCAGGACAATAACATGCATAATATTTCCATTCGTTCAGTTGGTTGATATTGTCGAAAGTTCGGTATTTTTTATTAATACCTTTATGTGCATGTAAAATGTAATGAGATAAAGATCTATGCTGGTTTGTACTAGACAGACATGGTAAGATAACATCCCACAAGAAAACATATTACTGTACTCAGAAATATGTTAATATATATATATATACATGTATATAGCGATGGACATAGTGCAGGCGGTGTTGTCTCGATATCCCAAAAGCATGAGTGCGAATCCCGGCGAGGGAAAAACAAAAATTTGTTTCCGCAAATTTGCAGATTTAACATTGTTGTGCTGATATTTAGAGTAGTTAATGAATATAAAATGTGTTTTCAGCCGTGTGTCACCTTCACTGGTGACCAAATGGATGGATGTGTCGTAGAGTTGTCACTTGTTTAGACGTACTTATCAAAATAATTATTTCTGTTACTTTATCATATGATCCATTACGATAGATATTGAGCTAATCTGCAATCAATCCCATCTTCATGCCTAATATATCATGTACTGTGTTACAACTCTAGATTCTACTGACCAGGATAGGTAACACAAGGCCACCGAAAGCTGAATTATTAGTTTAGTCTAGGTGGCCGAGTGGTCTAGAGCGATGGACACAGAGCAGGCGGTGTTATCTCGATATCCCAAAAGCATGAGTTCGAATCCCGGCGAGGGAAGAACAAAAATTGGCTTCCGCAAAATTGCAGATTTAACATTGTTGTGCTAATATTTAGAGCAGTTATGAATAAAAAAAAATGTGATTTCAGCCGTGTATCACTTTCACTAGTGATCCAATGGATAGATCTGTCGTAGAGTTGTCACTTGTTTAGACGTACTTATACATAGATATATATATATGTTGGATTTGCAAATTTGCCTTAGCAAAATTTTCTCTCCTCAGTTGGTACGAACCTTTGCTTCTATGACATTGTGGCAACTTGCACTGTGTATAACGCCATAGACCCAACGCCCAAGACTACTCGACCAACCAGGCTTGTACATTAAGAGGAGATAATAGCAAACATGATAAATATCATACGGTACAACATTCCACATCAACCATCAACAATTCGCTCTTCCGAAAAGTGGACATACAAAAACTAACAACAACAAAAAAACCCATGGACCAGATAGACTGACTTCGTACAGGCACAAACTGTTTAATGGTTCAACCCAGTTTTACGTGTGCGGTGCTGTGCAGAAACCACCCCTTTTCTTTTCTAGACTATTTGTCTTAAAACTAAAACACACAATAAAAAACATACAAATTGCGACTATTAAAATGATGACCACAAAATAGACTATTTTCATATTACCGACTTTTGACTCCGGATTATAATTTTTCGACAGGTTACCTACTCTGCAGTGTTTTATACGTAAAAAATATTTTATTTTACTTCTTTTCGTTGCTCTTATTTGACCGAATACCAGATGTCCTACCACAGAGTAGGTAATCTGTCGAAAAATTATATAATCCGGAGTCAAAAGTCTGTAATATGAAAATGGCCTATTGAACAAGGAAATAAACAAGAGGCACATCTATGCCTGTATTGCTCACCTTTTAGAAACTTGCTGCTAATTAGGACCTTTATATGCATATACCTGTTATTCTTTGCGTAGCTGATCATTTCTGATTTATGCGTTTAATCTAGCTCTTGTAGTGTTTGAGACAGAAGCCAAACTGCATAAAACAGTAAAAATCAACAGTTCAGGGGCAATAACTCCAAAACAGATTGTCAAATTTTCAGAAAGTTTCAGAGTATATATATCTTGTCATGCTGATCAGTTTTGCATTTGCATTTTTAACCTTGGCTAGCTCCTATGGGTCTTCGAGATGACAGCAAATAATTTGAAAAAGTGCATATTTCCGGGCAGAATAACTCTAAAAAAAAGAAAACAGATTTTTCAAGGTACATAGATCTTGTTGTGTTGATCATTTTTTTTCAATTTATAATTTAAACTACTTTTAAGATTAAAGCAATAAAAAACTGGGAAAATTGGAAAATAACGGTTTTTCCGGGGCAGTTTCTCAAAACAATTATTTGGGATTTTCTCCAGTTTAAGCATTGATTTATTATGTCATTCAAACCATCATTGCAATTTACCCTTTCAACCTAGATCTTACAGTTATTATATAGCATAAC